TTGTAAAATTGTTGGCGGAGCTATATAAGCTAGCAGTTTCAGATGAAGGGACCAAACTCTCAGCTTGCGTCAAGAAAAGTATTATGCCCAGGATTAGTGTTGCTGGACCAGTTAATGACACAGGCAGAGCAAAACCAAATCTCATCGCGTGGATCTTGCAGGCCACGACTCCAAACCAGTGGCACGCAGCAGAGCAGAACGCCTGCAGGGAAAACAGCCCAAGGCCTATCTCTACCGTGCCTTTACTGGCTTTGGTGAAAGCATTCCAGTTAATGCGAGCATCGGCTTCAGCAATCAGGCAGTAATACAGAAAGTACACCCCCAAGGTCAGTGCTATTCGAATGAGGCTGGTGAACAGATAAATGGCATCTCGGAAAGTGTCCAGTTCGCTGAGCATTTCCTGAATGTTAGTGCTGGCCTGAAAAGGGTTCTCCCACCAGTTCAGAGAAACCAGCAGTGATGCAAAAATTGCAATGCCTACATAAATGTAGCAACCTTCTACTTGTCCTGGCACATAAGAGGACTCTCTCACATAGTAGTCGACCACAAGTAGAACGTAGCCGCTGAGCACTAGGATGAGGGAGCATATGGGGTAGAGGATCATCCAGCTCTGCGTCTGCAAGCGGAAGGCGATCTGAAGCACGGCTGAAAGGATGCAGATGCCTCCGGGGATGCTGAGGTTTGTGAGAACATCAAGCTTAGGCATCACAATGAGCACCAGGATCGCGGTCCCCACGGCCACCAGACTCTCAATCCCACACATCTGCAGAAGCATTGACAGCAATCATTACATGTGTACACACTGAGACTTCCATAGCATTCAAGGTACACATTTCATCAGTTCATGCATGTCTGAAGTTCAGGAGCTACACCAAGAGTTACTCCTCTGCCATCAATTCATCGTTATTATATAACAGCATGAGCAGACTGAGTCGGCATCCTACGCTAAATGATCGTCTGGTATGTCTAACCTACTGGAAAATCCAAATAAATTCAGCTTGGTTTTGCATAGGTTTCAAAGCTGGTCTTTCAAGCTCTTTGGTTGGTACAACCAGGTCTAAGTGGTTGATTAACTGGACAACCAGTTCCCAGGGCTACAGGTATCTAGGTGCATAAACTTGCCGGGTTAGTGCAGGTAGACCACCTTGGCAAAGGGTTAGATCAGGATGGTCAACTAGTAGATCAGTTAGCCATCAAGAGAGTATGTCAGCTCACATTTTAGCTTTAATATTTTTATTAGTGGCGCTTTAAAGGAGGGGTATCCAAAGAGCTACAGAGCATTGGTCTTAAACCCTGCTCCTGGGGACCCACTTTCCAGCTCCAGCTGAAGGAGGTTGGAAAGAAACTTTGCAGGACAGTGGGTCCCCAGGAGCAGGGTTGAACACCTATGCTGTTGAGTTCAGCTCCAACACAATCAAAGCCGTTATAGACAGGTTTGTTGGAGCCGATTGGAGTCTGCAGGAAGGTAGATCTCCAGGACAGGGTTGGAAACCCCTGCTTTATAAGAATAATGTAACAAATTTCAGATGTTGTGTATACCTAACATTTCTGCATTAGTCATCAACATGTTCAATAAACACTGCAGGTGTTATGATGGTCTTGCACATGGAGATGTGCCTTTCATTTTACTCACTCCAACCTCACATTACTTGAAGTCATTTCAAGTTTGATTTGGACTTATCAGAAAGCAGTGATATCTGAGTAAGTGAGCTATTTACATTGTAATTTATCCATCTATTTCTACCAGTTTGATTCACGGGCCAATGCATCACATGCGACTTCCCCTTTTCATTCCTCATTACATGTATTACTTACATGCCCACGTATTAGGAGCTGCTGGACTTGTGCATGTCTTTTTCTATATAATACTGGGGAATGGAGTGTTCTCATGTGTTAATCTGCATCACGTCAACTCACGATTCCCAGTGTCCGTGGGTTAGGGGACACATAGCTCTTGAAGACACACTTCCACAGAGACTTCAGGAACATCAGCAGGTTTGGCATCACTAGCACACACATCAACATCAGCGTGTAGAACTGTTTGTCCACATTGTTTCTCAAAGACACTGGACTGGTCAGAGTGGTCAAAACCAGCAGAGAGCCCTACAATACAAACATGCCTTTAATGCGTTGGATCATTACACATAATCATCTGTGAATCACTGAATCTTCCGTGTCATGTGAGCATGAAAATGTCAGCAACTGCAATAAGAAACAAGGTCGCCCAATAAAGGGTCCAACTTTATATTAAGTGGCCTTAACTACTATGTACTTACATCAAAAATTAAGTACTTATTGTATTCATATTGTATTGCAAAACACTTCTGCTGCTATTGAGGTGGGATAGGGGTAAGGTTAGGGACAGGTTTAAGGGTGGGTTAAGGTGTAACGGATGGGTAAACTGTGTAATTATAAATGTAATTACAGAAATTAATTACAGATTTAATTACATGCAGGTATTTTAAAAATACAAGTACAATGTAAAAACATGTATGTACACAATAAGTGCATTGTACCAAATTATTAATTTAAATGTAAGTACTTAGTTGTTAAGGCCACTTAATATAAAGTGGGTTGAAAGAAAAGAAAGCCAGTTTGTCAAACAACTCTTGTTTTGCAGCTTGAACCTTTCTTCTTTGCTGATTACCCTACATCATTCAGCACTTTATCCTTAACAAACGTCAGGTATGCGTACAGTATGTGTGTGCATGTTTGTGTATTCTTGAATGCAAATTTTGACATATAACACTAAGTTTTCATGAATGAATCTCGATTCCAAACTCTCTCCACTGACAAAAAGTGCTAAAATGCAGATCATACAAGAAAGCAGAAGTCTTCAGAAGTGAACACCGTATATTGTGAGCTTTATTTCTTAGCATTGACCATTGTTAGTACATTTTTTATTTTACTCACCAGAGTAAGTTCGTCAAAATTAAATACTTTTATAACTGGGCAAATATAAATGACACAGCTACTCGTCATACATATTATATATTTTAAGAAGATACATACATAGATACCTATTGACATTATTACATAACCAGTTAAACTTCATATTTAAATTCTTAACTTTAATGCAGATTTTAGATGGATTATTAGCCATCTTTCATAACGTGACAGACGCATCCATGCTTCTAAAGGTACCGGCCTATTGTTTTAAAATTACATTAAATTAATTAAAAGTAATTAAAATTTGGATAGTCTGTTAATATAATATTCCATACTTTATCAGAGCTTGGTAGACATAATTATTATATTCTTAGACAGATGAATTAATAGATTATAATTAATGTTAGGCTCTATTTATTAAGTTATCATGATCATAAACACACAATAAATCATCATATTTGTCATATACAATTTGGCATTTTAAAAAGTGCTAAATTATTTAGATAAAAATGGAACAAATAATTACATAATAATGTAGTTCTAATTTAAGCAAATGAATAATAATAATAATAATAAAAAAAAAAAAGAAATTCATCCCATAACACCTGCAGGTAACAGCTGCAGAACTGTCAAAACAAGACTATCATAAATAATAACTGTTACTGGTTCAAAGGGGCCTCAGACGAATAGAAAACACACACTATAATCAAGACACTCGTTTTTAAAACAGCAATTTTCGGGTGACTTACTTTAAAGTTAAAGATGATTTTCTTGTTCGTTGTAATCCTGCTTTGGCGGGAACTGTGAAATTATTAACGGAAGTCGCACGCGAGCATCGCGGAACCGAGCAGCGCCCTCTGCTGATCAGAACAAACACTGAACGCGTAGAACAACGCACACAGTTGGGCTTTATAACATTAGCAACGTTGTGTTTCGTGCATACCATATCTAAATTATACTAATTGAAAATAACGATACCAGTAAGTCGGATTTTGATTCTGTTTGCTTTTGATTCACTATTATCAAAAAAGAGTCGGATCATCCGAGTCACTTGTTCGCGATTCGAACTGCATCGGTCGCGTTGAATGGTGTTTTTGCTTTCTGTCCATGCGGACAACTCAATAAAAACACATTTCTTGACATTATTTCGTGGAAGACTGCATTTTTTACCATCACATTCAGTACAGATAGAAAACATTCACGACTCGGGTAAAATATTATTTATGAGAGTAGAATGTGAGCCCAAAAATGTCTGCTTATGGTGGGGGTGGGGGGAAATAATAATAATAAAGAAACTGAAGATATATATTTCTTATTGGAGGTGTCAGCATCTACACATTTAGACAGATATAAAATTACAAGTGGACGCAGCTTCTAATGACGTCATTGCCCCGGTCGACGTCCAACTAACCGGAAATGACTGTGCAGCCAACGCCAAAATACTAACCCCTTTTAAATTAATTCATACATTGTTTATAAAAGTACATATATATAGCGAGACAAAAAACTGATTACATACATGCATTATTAAATGTGAAATTACTAAAAAATATATTCGATCACGCTATGTGGCCGGAGAGCGGAGTCATCGGACCAATCAGAGGCGTCGCCGAGCATCACGTGACCCGATCAGGAAGCGACCCGAGTGAAATGCTGTACAGTGTCCGGTGACCGGAGCGCTGCTGTCCGTTATTCGTTCTAACCTGCAAACCTTACAAACGGCAGACCGTTCGCGTTCAGTTAGAGCTCTCATCTACAGGTAAGCGCGCGACTAAACTGCTCGTTTCCCCTGACAACAGCAGCGGTTGCCGAGGAAACGCTAGCGCGAGACAGCGCCCAGTTTACCACAACGAGAAGCGCGCGACTAAACTCACTCGTTTCCCTGACAACAGCAGCGGTTGCCGAGGACACGCTAGCGCGAGACTGCGCCCAGTTTACCACAACGAGAAATACACAGAAAAACATCAACATATGAACACATTCACCTGTACCGAGGTATTTAACACGAGTAACGTGTTTCCAGTGAATACTACCGACTCTTTTCAGTGTCTGAGAGACAAAACATGGTGTTTCCTTAAAGCCCGGCCGGTTAGCATCACAGCTAATGCTAACTGATAACTAACTGACTGACAGATCGGCTGTTGTTGTGTTTACACGTGGACAGTTTTATCTGGACGATCTCATTGTTTTTATGTTATTTTCTAACTCAATATTAGTACTTTTAAAAATACAGTTTAGCTAAAATGTCTATTTTTTGTCTCTATTGCACTAATTGCAGCATGAGCTTCAAATCTCATTCATCCCCCAAACCACAGTCAAACAGAAGCCTTTATAATTATATAACCCTGTAAGCTGCCAGTAGAAACTGAAGTTTTGTACATCATATGTGTTCTTATTATCTAAAGTAATGATATTATGTTATTGCTTCCCCAGCTACATTTTTTTTGATTTTGTTCATATTTTCCTGAAGAAAGAAAAACAGGAATTGTGCTGGAAGCCAAAATATTAAATGTCACGGATGAATATTTACTGAGTAATCCACTGTTTTGTAAGGGAGGGTCAAAATGATCATTTTTACCTGAGATTCGGAGCCAAATTACAGGATGATTTAGTGCTGGGTGGTATGACCAAAAATTTATATCACAGTAGTTTTCAAAATTATACCGGTTTCACGGTACATGACGGTATTTTTTTTCATGCATGACCGGGTGTTAACCATATTCTCTACTGATTGAGAGGAAATACTGCAGTATATTGACTTAGAATGCCCTATTTTACTGTCATGATGAGTGAATATTGTCAAAAAATACCACACTAAATAGTGACTAAACACGACCCCTTTTAATACATGTTAACCAGGAGTCACTCATTTATAATATTGTTTTCCCAAAGTTTGCATGTCTGTAACTCAAGACATATCAAAGATATCTCAACATCCTTTTAGATTCTGGTTCTTAACAAACCTGTCTTTGAGTATCTACATTTTTAAGGCCCTTTATGGTTCAGTTCCAGAGATATTGGGATCTGAGTGTGGCTCCATGACAAAATGGTTGGGTTTAACCCATTTTCCATGGTTGAAAACCAAATATAGGTCGCTTTGCATAGAGCTCTGATACTTATGTTTAAAGAGCAAGCAAACAATGTTAAAGCTAGAATATATGTTTAGTAATAAATGGTGTGGCAGCTCTCAGTCCTGTCATGTTTTTGCTGCTGGCATCGGTCATATGACAGTATATCTAGAGCACTCGGTAGTCGACTCTATAGACGTCTGTGCTACGGTTCACGCAGCAGATGCCAAAGTGTTTACTCTTGAAAATCCAGAGAAATTAAGCCAAACATGTCCATGGCACGGAGGAATTCATGCACTCCTCGGGTGAGTGAGTAAAATTATGGAAATAGACGAATGGTTTATGGTTCACAAATTAGTAATTCAATCTGACAGCTCGTTTTAAACACAACCCGTTTAGTTTCTACTTTGTTCACTGGTTAGTTATTCATCATGTGGTTAGCGTCATGTTTATGATCTTCGCTGTAATGCAAAACACTGAGCTTTATTAAATGCAAGCTCACCGTGTTCAAAAGTTGAAGATGCGTGTTGATCGCAGTGGCTGCGTGTCATTTCTTCATACTTGGGTTTGAGCTGGTGAACTTCTGCTGTTGAACACATGCAGTTCTTCATCATCCAGGTCAGAGTAAATCGTTGTGGTTCATGTCCTCGGCTCTTCCTGATCCTACAGCAGGTCTACAGAACTGAAGTGAGTTTTGAGGCATGTGATGTTGAGCGCCGGGACTGTGCTGATCAGGTCTGTGTTGTACTGAGCGTCCCTCGCCGGTTTCTCAACAGAGATCGTTTGTTTGGAAAAGCATATGACTGTTCCCGCAGCCTCATCCGGCTCCAGACCAAAACCTGATTCGATATCATGAGTCAAAGCCTTGAATATGAAATATTAAAAGACCAATCTAAAATAATAACAAAACACAAACATTTTTGAGATACTATTATAGTTTTTCTTAATATTTTAAATTAGCTTTTTTAAAGTTTCCTTTTTTATTTTTATTTCAGTTAAAGGTTTAGTCATTTAGTTCTGTGTTTTTGACATTTTTATTATATTTTTTAATGTCTAGCCTATATAGTTTCATATTATAAAGCGGATAGTTCCGGTCCTTGATTCTGATTGGCTGAGCCGCGTTCAAAGCTGTTGTAAATGACTCTACAAAGTAACATTTTATAACAGCTAAGAGGGTTTTAGGCTCCGCTTCGCTCGTACCTAACAACGCCCTTTAGCTGTTATAAATTCACTGTAAACCACGGCTTCTTGGGGCTTATTGCTTTATTAATACTTATTTATTAATATTTATTTAGTTTTAATTTCACTAATTTTAAGTTAAAGTAAAAATGAGAAATATTGCCTTAAAGGGGTCATATGACGTTGCTAAAAAGAACATTATTTTGTGTATTTGGTGTAATGAAATGTGTTTATGCGGTTTAAAGTTCAAAAAACACATTATTTTCCACATACTGTACATTATTGTTTCTCCTCTATGCCCCGCCTTTCTGAAATGCGTCGATTTTTACAAAGCTCATCGGTCTGAAAAAGCGAGGTGTGCTCTGATTGGCCAGCTATCCAATGCGTTGAGATTGACCGAATACCTCAAGGAGGCGTTTTAGGTAGGTGTGGCTGACTCTTAACTTTTATAAAGAATATCTCTTTGGATTTGAGACTTTAGTCTTTGCAACTTTACAGATCTTCTTTATGCACCAAGAGCTTGTAACACTCCAAAGAGAAAGGAACAATTGAAATCGCATCATATGACCCCTTTAAGAAATGCATCTTTCATTTTATATGTGATACTATTATAATTTGTATTCATTATTTTTATTCACATCTTAGTAATTAAGTTCAGTTTTTTTTTTAATACGTCATATAAGTTTTATTAATTTTCATTTCACTTTGAAATGAAACCTTTTAAATGAAAATAAATGCTGTCTTGACATCTAGGTGAAAAAAAATCACTTTGCATTTATTTATTTTTTGTTTAAGATGGGGATCATAACTATAATAACCTTTATTACTAATGCATATTGTTGTCTTATAGAAGAGCATATGTGACAAATGTTGAGTTGACATGCAGATGAAAACATGTTCAGCTAATGACCATATCATGTGTAACAAGTTCTGAGTTCTCTGGCGAGAGTGTATGGGTGAGTGTGGCACATGTTGTCTGATGCGGAGTGTGTGTGTGTGTGTGTGTGTCAGCTGCAGGGCGCTGTGGTCAGCAGGATGAGTTCAGACGGAGGCGGGAGGCCTGTGAAGGTGGGCTCGCTGGTGGAGGTCATCGGGAAAGGCCAGCGCGGGACCGTGGCGTATATCGGCGCCACCCTGTTCGCCTCGGGGAAATGGGTCGGTGTGATTCTGGACGAACCCAAGGGGAAGAACGACGGCACGGTGCAGGGCAAACGCTACTTCACCTGTGAGGAGAATCACGGGATATTCGTCAGACAGTCTCAGGTAAGAATCGGCCATTTATGTCAATTATTACGTAAAACGAAAACGCCATTTTTCTGTACAACGTAATCATACTTCCCCAGTTTAATAATCACAGTACATTATGACAATTATTTTCTACTACAAGTTTTCTAAAATGCTATTTAAATATGCAAATTAGGCATTATCTCAACCCTCTACATTGCGAGTAAATCACTCGCATATGCGACTAAATCTTACTCTGGGCGACTAAATGATGTCTAATATTAGCCAATGGCTAATAAATTCTCAGATTTTACTCGCCAGTGTGTGAGTTGGAGGCCAAGTATTAAGTTTAGCACAGATATATTTTCACTCACAGAACACTCTGACTGAGCGCTTCAGAGTTTCACTCTCCGTCAAGCGATCTGTGATATTT